GTTCTCTACCACTGAGCTGTATCTGCAGCTCAAAAAAAATTTTTTTGTTTGGGTACTGGGAATTGAACTCCGAAGAAAAAAGCTAAAGTTAGGTAGATGCTTCAATTGTAAAATATGACACTGTAGAAAAACTGGTGATATCCATAATACACTATTGTTTTTCTTTTTTGCTTCCAAATTTTTCAACTGTGTTCTCTAACTATCAAATGGCAAATGAAATTTTATAAGTCTGAATTAAACTTCTAAAATATATTGGACACCTAGAGAGACTGTGTCATCTAGGAAAATCTCCAATGCTATATATATGCTAAGATATGTCAGAATTTAAAAAGCCCCTTCCTACTACCATAATTTCACTTCTGTCTGACAGGCTCAGAGAGCTGTTTCATACAATAATTACAACTTGTGCCAGGCATGATCGCACACACCTGTAATCCCAGCAGTTGGGAGGCTAAGGCAGGAGGATCACTGAGAGTTTGAGACCAGCCTGAACTGCATAGCAAGAACCTGTCTCAAAAAGCCAAAAAAAAAAGAATCGCAACTTGCATAGAGCAGAAGAAGGTATTTGTACGTGAGCATACAGATGTACTTGATTGGCTCTGATTTACTCATAGCAGATTTGTTTTAACTAGGAGAGAAATCAACATCAAGAGAAACAAAGTGCTAAAGCTGGACATGGTGGCATGTATCTGTATACTGCGGGAGAAGGATCACCATGAGTCTGAGACCAGCCTGGGGTACACAGTGAGTTCAAGGACAGCTTTAACTATATAAGTGAGACTGTCTCAAAAAGCAAAAAGCAAGTGCAAGAGCAAGCGTGAGAGTCTGAGCCAAGTGGGAGAGAAGCAGAGTGCTTACAATCAGAACTACATATGAAAGACCTAGATTTATTCCAAGTAGTTGAAAAAAACTTTTTCCTGTCTAAAAGCAAGTAAAGGCTATGACACAAAGGAGTGTAGATCATACCTGGTCCTACAGTCACTTCAGTGGAATGCTTGTTGATAACTTTAATCTTATCACTGAAACCATTTTCCTCCACAATCTTCACAGCTGCATCAGCCATAGGCTTAAAAACCTGGAAATTAGAGCCAAACACCCAAGGGAAAAAGAAACAATAAATTTTAAAATATCCTACTCACAGCCCCTTTTTAGCCCTAATATTTTTTAACTTCAATGCTTTAGTCTCCAAATGAAAATGAACATAAATGCATGAGACTGAAGTTTAATACGTAGTCAGAAATCAAAAAAACAGCAAAAGCCATCTAATCTTCCTAATCATAAATCTAGTCCACCCAACCAACCCCATGATCTATACTCAGCCATAAAGATCCCATTATTCACAGGCTTCCTGTCCTATATGCCTCCTCCCCCAGCCAAATCAAACCCAATTTCACAGGCCAGAACAAACCCTATCCTCCTCTCTCCAGAAGTCTTCTGTGAACCTTGCATGTCTCCATAAACATAAACCTCTCCAGCTTTATTTTCTAGATGCTCTATTTGTTTTATATAGCTCCAATCACTTTGTGCACAAAACCCACAAACTGACACGCAGACACACACACAGAGTGGAAATATAACGAGTGATAAAGTGACTGTTGATGACGTCAAGATTTTCATTTTTTCTAAATCTTTTTCTGTTTTTTTCACATTTTCTATCATGGAACACAAAGTTTTTACTATAATCAAAGAGGAAATGCTGCATCTTTTTTGTTTGTTTTTTTGGTACTGGGCAGAAAAATTATATTAAGACTTTAGTGTGATTTTTTTTTTTTTTTTTGTACTAGGAATTGAATTCAGGACCTTATGCTTGCCAGGCAGGTATTTATGCCACTGAGCTATATCCTTGGTCCAGTTTGATATTTCTTGATGCAGCACAAGGGTCTCAAGCTCTTAGTTCTTAAAAATTACTTTGCCTAGGGCTGGGGATTTAGCTCAGTGGCATAAGCGCCTGCCTTGAAAGCAGGCAGTCGTGAGTTTGATCCCCGGTACCGATAAAAAGGAAAAAAGACAAAAAAAAAAAAAAATTACTTTGCCTAAAAATACCCCAAACTCAGTGCAATGCCCTCACTACAGTTGCTGCTTCTGCGTCTGCTGCTTCTTCTTTTCTTCTGCTTCTTCTTCTTCTTCTTTTTTTTTTGGCTCTCAGGCTCGAACTCATGACCTCACACTTGGCGGGCAAGCATTTATGCTGCTGAGCTAAATCCCCAGCCCCTCCAGTTGCTTTCTGATCTATCACTTTTCTCCGCCCTTGAACCTGTAAGCTCCAACCATTCACAGCCTCCTTCTTTCCAGTCCCCCAAGCTGGGTCAGGCACGGTATATTTGCCTGAAATCCCAAGAAGGTTCACAAGTTCAAGCTGAGCTGGGGCAACTTAGCAAGACCCTATCCCAAAATAAAAACAAAAAAGGATTAGGAAGGTAGTCCTTGATTTAATCCCCAGTTCTGCAAAAGATCTCTCCCAGAACACCACGAGGTGTGGCCCCCAAAGTTGACTTCCCAACATCCGCACTCCCTCAGGTCAGGTGCAGTGATGCAGTGAGAGCAACTGACCTTTCAAGTGTTCCACCTCTCTCGTTGAAGGGTAACTAAATCCCAATGCCCAATGATACCCGAAAGATTTGCCAAGTTTGTGCCTACTCTTCAAAAAAGAGAAAACAAGGCAGATAGGACTGTGCTTTCCTGTCTAACATGTCCCCAGTGCCTCTTAGAACCTTACTGCCATTAATGGTGCCAGCCTTGGGAGGACGTAAATAGCACAAAGAGAGCAACTTATATTTCATTATATTTCTAAAGAACCCAATCCTGAAGCCAATGGAAGACCTGGACTTCCTGATCAAACCTTTGTCTATACCAATCTGGTTTTCAAGGCACTTGCCACAGTTATCATTGTAACTGAAACACCTCCCCAAATGTATTAAAAGCAGTCCAGGGGTTGGGGATTTAGCTCAGCGGCATAAGCGCCTGCCTTGCAAGCAGGCAGTCGTGAGTTCGATCCCTGGTACCAATAAAAAAGGAAAAAGCCAAAAAGAAAAAAAATAAATAAATAAAAAAAATAAAAGCAGTCCATAGTCACTTCTGCAATGACTTGCAATCTATCCACTCCTGAACCCTATTCCTTCTTAGAAGTATCACCTGAAGGTCATCAATGATTTCCTGTTGCCAACCCAAGAGCTTTCTGTAAGTCCCCATAATATGGAGCAGTCAAATAGAAATTAATACAGTCGGACAGAACTTGAACTCTCAAGGCAATCAGCACAGAAAATAAAGACATCAAAATTGTGCCTGGAGACACAATGGACAGACCTGCATGCTTTCCTAAAGGACAAACAGCAACTTGAAATTATACTATAATTAGGACCTGGTCCCCTAAGTTCAGAAACGTACCACTCACCCAGGTAGATGACCCTCTGGTCATCCAAACCCACCCCTTCCAAAAAGTCTCTTTGTTCCTTCCAGTACCTTGCTATGTGACTCATTTGCCACCTATTGCATCAATACTAACTATGTGGCTATACTTGTAATTCTAAGGTCAGCGATGGCAAAACTATGGCATGTGTGCTTGTAGCCAGCTGTTTGTTATCGCTGAAAGCTCTAAAAGGTTCACCATCACTGCTTTAGGTTGACTGTGGCTTGACCCACATTGTACCCATGCTGTGACTTTGCAAAATTACCCCTGACAAAGGACCTTGGTAGCTACCCATTTGGGATCCTTCTTGGAAATTCAGAACTATTCTCCTTAGTTCTAATAAACTCTCCTAATGTTTTCCTTTGGCTCTCAACTTCACTCCTAGATGCTGTGAGACCATGAACTCGACACATTCGGCACCTAACAGATTGGGAGTTATATTTCTATTATCACTCATCTTGTTTAAGCTCTACACGGTATTGTACAACACAGTAAAAACAGCTATTTAAATGCAAGTTATGAAATAGACTAAAATTAAAAATTCAGTTCCTTGAGCTGGGCATGGCAACACACACTTGTAATCTCAGTACTTGGGAGGCTGAGCAGGAGACTCATCCTGAGTTCCAGGCCAACCTGGATTACACACTAATTTTAAGATCAGCCTAAACTACATGCTTTTCTGGCTTTTCACAGTCTGCACCTTTGGCTTCCACAGCATTTTGCTCTCTGGGGCCACACCTCCTTCAGCCCATGAAAGCACGCATGTTTCTAAGGTTTATTCTTCTCACTCTTTCTCCTGTGACACTGTGTCTGTTAATTCTGTCACCTGCTTCATATCACACTTGTTTCACTTGCCCCATGTTAGCAAGTGAGTCCAAACCCACTCGTGTGTTTCTGAAGATTCAGAGATCCCCTCACAGGTTCCCTCACTCCATCCTCTGTACCGGTCTGTTCTGAGGCCATGTGCTCAGCCAGAGCTGCAAACCACAAGGCAGTCCACAGAGAAAAAGAGGCGTTCAAATGGATGGTCACTAAAGCAAAATCTGGTAGGCCAGCAGAGATGCCAAGAACCAGAGGGCAGAAAGGTCAAGTACCACAGGCCATACCAGGAAAACAAAACTAGAAATACAGATAACTGACATGGGAAGATGGAAAAACCCAAGAGCAGTCCTACTAACTGTGTTTAAAAATGTGCCTTCCTCTATAATTTTAACTAGTGGCCCACTAGTTAAACCAACTCTCAGACTCAATACATCCAACACAAAATGCATTCTCTCTCCACCAAGTAAGCATTTTCCTCTGGGTTCCCTGAACCAGTCAAGAACACTGCTGCCTCCTTGCACAACCACACTAGGACAAAAAAAATAAACAAAGACACACACACACTCCTTCTCACCAGAGCACTCACTGAACCACTGTTCAGTGGTTCCTAGCACAATTAGGAATCAGACACCACAGTTCCAGGTCTAGCTGTTCTACTTACTGACTGTAGGACTTAAGACTTTAACTTCTCTGGGCCCTAGTTTCTTCATTAATAAAATAAGGGGAAGGAAAAAAACCTACTTTGACGCTATCAAAACAACCATCCTAAAAGTGGTGGGACTCGCAACGCGGCCGCGGAGAAAAGAAGGTCCCCGCAGCCACCAGCGCCATGGAGAAGACCGAGCTGATCCAGAAGGCCAAGCTGGCTGAGCAGGCCGAGCGCTACGACGACATGGCCACCTGCATGAAGGCAGTGACCGAGCAGGGCGCCGAGCTGTCCAACGAAGAGCGCAACCTGCTCTCGGTGGCCTACAAAAACGTGGTCAGGGGCCGCCGATCAGCCTGGAGGGTTATCTCAAGGATTGAGCAGAAAACCGACACCTCTGACAAGAAGTTGCAGCTGATTAAGGACTATCGGGAAAAAGTGGAGTCGGAGCTGCGATCCATCTGCACCACGGTCCTGGAACTGTTGGACAAGTATTTAATAGCCAATGCAACTAATCCAGAGAGTAAAGTCTTCTATCTGAAAATGAAGGATGATTACTTCCGATACCTTGCTGAAGTTGCATTGGTGATGATCGAAAACAAACAATAGATAATTCCCAAGGAGCTTACCAAGAGGCATTTGATATAAGCAAGAAAGAGATGCAGCCCACACACCCTATCCGCCTGGGGCTGGCTCTTAACTTCTCTGTATTTTATTATGAGATCCTTAATAACCCTGAGCTTGCCTGCACGCTGGCCAAAACGGCTTTCGATGAGGCCATCGCAGAGCTTGATACACTGAATGAAGACTCCTACAAAGACAGCACTCTCATCATGCAGCTGCTCAGAGACAACTTAACATTATGGACATCAGACAGCGCAGGAGAAGAGTGTGATGCGGCGGAAGGGGCCGAGAACTGAGTGCGCACAGGGTGTCATCCTCCTCCTAACAAGAAACCTTTTTACACATCTCCATTCCTTACTCCACTCGGACTCCCTCTGGCAAAGAACCTGGAGGCGGCCATTCCTAGTGTTTCCACACTGCAGCTTTGGGAAAACTCCATTCCTTGGTTTGTGTTTGTCTTGGCCTTCCTGATGTGCAGTTACTGCTATAGAAAAGTATTAATAGCTTCCTTTCATATAAACATAAGTAACTTCCAACACTTATGCAGAGGACTAAAAGTGTGTCTGGCATTTAAGTAATCCAAACCAGTTCTGCAGTGACTGCGTTCTGTATTACTGTGGAGATTTGACGACTGCGTAGTTAATTACAATTTAAAGAGAGTTCTACAGAACCTCTCAATTTCTACATTCCCTCCCTTTCTCTTCTTTGGGGTTTCCTTTCCTTGAGCAATTTGTCCATCCTCCTGCTGTGTTCCTGTTTGGTGAGAATCCAGAAGTATTAGATTGAATAGGAAAGCGGGAAAGCGTTGTCTCTGGGCTGGGAGTCACAAGTTGAAAGCCTCCTGTCTCACATTCAGTGGAGGTCATGTCTGCCTGCGACAACAGAGTTTCCTTGTTCACCTTCGTTTGCTGCTGTTTAAGTTGACAACTTGCCAATAAAAATTCACTTACACCTCCAAAAAAAAAAAAAAAAAAAAACAACAACCATCCTAAAACATAAAGATGTCTCTGGCTCTCTCTCTCCCCTCCCTCTCTTCTCTTTCTCTACTTTCACTTTATTTAAACCACTGTAACTTTCTTATTTCCAACTTGATAAAAAAAAGAATCCAATTTTATCAGGCAAAGTATTTAAATACATGTCTACATCCCATCCCAACTTTTTTTTTTTTTTTTTTTTTTTTTGTCTTTTTCCTTTTTATCGGTACCGGGATTGAACTCAGACTGCCTGCTTGCAAGGGCAGGTGCTTATGCCGCTAGGCTAAATCCCCAGCACCTGCACCCCAACATTTTTAACATCAGTCAACTATAGCTTAGCATACTATTTCTACTTTGCATTTACAAAATTTCCTATAATAGTATACATTTATATGATCATAAAAACAATATATGTTTAATGTTTTATTAAAGAAAACAATGGCAACCTGTAAATGTAATAAAAGATAGCTGGCTCCACATCCAAAAGTCCCAATGCTAGGCCAGATTCCAGAAAAATCGAAATCTCTGTAGGGCTTGGGGAAGATTAGCCATCAATATTTTTTTAAAGCTCTTTAGGGAGTCTCTTATGCAGCTGAGTCTGAAAGTCACTGTTTTCAGAGCAGAAAACAGACTCCTAAATGGAGGAGTCACATCTGCCTCATCTGTTAAGTGCTGAGAACCCGGCCCTGCACTTGGCATGGAGTAAGCACTCCATGGATGATTCTGAACAAACAGATGGGAAAAGCACAAGGACACAGAAGATTTCCCACACAAGACACAGGACACACACCAGCAGAATGTAGCTCACCTCAATAGCATAGCAGAAGTCGGCACCTGCTGTGACTGCCATCATTGATAAGAGGCCAGTTCCAGTGCCGATGTCAACAACCAAGGCCTTCTGTCCTCTGTCCTTTACCCTCCTCACAGCAGCCCGGATACCCTCATAATATTTTGTATTCTAAAAGAGAAGAAAAAAGTAATTGTTATTTCATACCGGTTATTATAAATAAAAAGACACTTTGTAGAGTTGAAGTGTTAGGGTTGGCACCAGCAGTGTGAGTCAGGACACTGTGGCCCTTCCTCCTCTGGAGAAACAGCATGGCCAGCAGAGCCACACAGACCCTCTGAGACACCAACAGCACCTTTTGCCTTCTACTAACTGACTGGCTCCCTCCCACCTTCACACTTCTATACCCTGCTAAGTGACGCTAGTGTAGGGTATAAACTCTGAAAACCACAGTTTTTCCAGTAGTTAGACACAGCCAGTGGGAGAACAAGAAGGCAACTGGAGAGTAGGAGCAGGGACGCTTGCTCCTTCCTATAGGGATGCTGCTCTTGGCAAGGTCCTCCCAGGAATGGCAGCTGGTTCCAGACCCTACTTCTCTGTGTCCTCTGTGTACTAGCCTCTTCGGGTACCTCAGAGTAGCAGCTCTCAAACAGCACACAGTGATCACACTTAGAGGTAAGGCCTTGGCACCAGCTCCTGGGATCTGGAAGTCCTAAACTTCTTATATTTCTTAGCCCCAAGCAATGTAAGGGCTCCCTGCTAGCAATGCTGCTGAATTAGCCTGATTGTTCCTTCTGCTTTCTAGTCCTCTCACACGTGGGCAACCAACTCCCTTTCACACTCTAGCTGTTGTAATATATAATGCACTTTGGTGTCCATTTTTCATACTAAACTCCAACTTTATACCTTCCTTGTCTAAGAAATACTTTCCTTCTTAGCAAATAACTTCCTGCCATCCTGAAGGTTCAATAAACTGACTCATCTTCTATTGTAGTGATCTGGCTAAATAGATGCCCTGGCCCCATACAGTCCCTGAAAAGAACTAAAAATGATGGGAACAAAATCTGTGAATCTTTTTAAATGTATTGATGACCTTCAGATTAGTAATGGATTAAGAAATCATTAAATTTGGGGACAATCTGCCATGTAACAGAAAATAACTAATACAAAACTGGTTATGAAAAGGGCACCATTTTCTAACCACAGTGTAATCAAATTAAAGATATCAATTACAAAAATATAACTAAAGAAAACCAGATTTTTTGACTATTAAAAATACAGGTCAGCTCAGTGGTAAAAAGCTTGTCTAGCAAGGATGAGGACCTGGTTTGATCCCAAACACCACAAAAAAGAAAAAAGAAATGTAATTCTAAAGTTACAGGTGTAAAAGACATCAAACTGAAATTATAAGTATTCAGAACTAAATGATAAAAAATGAGATGGCACAGCAATACTTCAAAAGAAGTACAATAAAAAAGATGAAAAATGAGTTAAATATCTGATTGCAAAACTTGGTAAGACTGCAAGATAAATTCCCAACAGAGGTTGGGACATAGCGCAATGATAGAACATTTGCCTAATATGAGCAAGACCCTGGGTTCAATCCCCAGCAACACATACACACAAACACAAATGAACAAACAAAAAAAAACGACTATAAACATGCAAAAAAAAAAAAAATCAAATGAAAGTCTTGCTAAGTTGCCTCCAACTTGAGAATTTCCTGTCTTGGACTCCTAGTAACTGAGATTACAAGTGTGTACCATCATGTAGAGAATATATAGTGACACCTCAGTTGTTGAACAGCTCCAAGCATGAACCTTCCACTAGTTGAATAACAAAGTTCAAAAACATTTGCTTAGTGTCCCTAACTCTGCTTGACAGTGAACCAAAAATGGACTTGAAAAACCTGCACAGGGTGTCAGGCATGGCAGCGCATACCTACAATCCCAGTACTCTCAAGAGGCTGAGGCAGGAGGATCATTGTGAGTTCGAGACCAGCCTGAGCTACAAAGTGAGCGCAAGGCCAGCCTGAACTGCATAATGAGACCCTGTCTCAAAAAGACAAAAAAAAAAAAAACCTATACAGGTTGAGTGAGTCACATCGCATCTTGCTATGGACACAAGCGATGGTGCTTCAGTCTAAGCGCCGCTCTCATCCAAATGTATAGTGCTTGTGCTAGTGCATTAAAACATTCATCACTGTGCTTTCTTTTGGTGCTTTACTTGCACAAAATCGTTATCATGGCTCCAAAGAAAAGTTAGTGATTCCAGTAGTAAAGCTAAGAAGAAAGAAAAAAAAAAAAAGCTAAGAAGAAAGGGCTGGGGATACAGCTCAATGGCACAGCACCTGCCTGTTAAGCATGGGGTCATGAGTTCAATTCCCAGTATAAAAACAAAACAAACAAACAAAAGTTAAGACAAAAACTGTATTGGAGACTTGAAGATATTATAAAAAAAAAAAAAAGACAAAAACTGTAAAAACCACAATAGAGTTAAGAAATCATCGTGAAATTTGTTAAATTCCTGGAAAAAAGAACTTGTAAGTAATCTTGGGACCTCAAAGCAATTATTTGGTTTTTCATTCTTATGGAAAAAATACCTTCTGTTCTTAAACTTTTCAGTCTTCAAACATAAATTTGGAGTGAGCAGAGTTCAATAACTGACATGTCACTACATACAACTTTTGTCAATTACATCTTAATAAAGCAGAGGTAAGAAGACAAAATCAGAGGTAGAAGCGAGTCTCCCAGGTGATCTGACTACAATATCATACAGCTTCTCAGCATCAATCTATCATCATGATCCTCAGGGCAAGTTGGAGCCTTTTTGATTTCAAACACTTACATCAAGATAATGGCTTCATTTACACTTACCCTGTCTTTGTCATGTAGCATATCTGCATAGGAGGACCTAAAAAACAAAAGAGCAGGTCAGAAATATTTGAGTGTATTCACGTATATATATTCCTCAATCAGAAATAACAAAACAAACATGGCACCCATTTTAAATTACTTTAATTAGAAGCTGTTACCCTGCAGAACTGCAGAAAAAAATCTCAGACAGATGTTATTTTCAGATGAAAAAGCACTCTAGTAGTTAGCCCTATAACAATAATCCCATAGTCACTAGCATCCTAATCATGTTACTCAGACTTATCCCCAACACTTGCCCTGACCTTGCATACATGTCCACCTTGGAATAACCATGGAAGTTGCACTAGGGAGAGGAACTGGGAGAGGGAAAGCACATACCTGCAATGTATGTGAGGGCCATCATGCCTATACCTCACAGCACATTTTCAGGGATAATGAAAGAGCTCACCAGTGTTACAGGGAGAACTACTTATCCATATTTTCTATTGTATTATTTCTCAAATTTGAAAATGAGGACCAAATGTAGCTCAGTTGTAGAACCTAGCGTATATGAGACCCTGGGTTCAATCCAGACCTACAATTCTATCTACCTACTGGCACTGCCATCTAGAAGTTGCAATCCAAACACTTCATCTCCATCACCTTCCCTTCCCATACCACCTCTCAGGTGTTCCCCCTCTCAACAACAGCTCCATCTAGTCAGTCACTCAAACCAGAAATCTTGGTGTTTCTCAAATTTTCTCTCCTTCTATCATTGCATCCACTGAGTTACCAAACTCAAAACTGTCTCCTCCAACTCCACCTCTCCTGTCTCGGCTTTGGGACTGAAATACCCACCCAAATGATCTCCTCTCCTTCCCATACTGCTCTCAGTGACTGTTCTGAAATCCAACCTGCTCCTCTTTCTCTCATTTAACATA